GGGGGGTGTCTTCACCCAAGGCTCCTCTGCTCAGCCCCCCTGGTCTCCCCCACCCAGGAAAACGGGGGAGGGGGAGGGGTACCAAAACAGCCTTTGCTGCCAGGGCCAGCAGGGAGCCCGACTCTCGAGGCCCGGAAGGCTCCCAGGAGGGCCCAGGAGATCTGGGGGCCCGGCCAAAGGGGGCTCCGTACCTGAGTCTGCCACCCTTCCGACCGAGACCTTCTTCTGCCAGGCCATGTGCCCCAGGACGGAGAAGATGGCGAAGCCCGCAAAGAAGCTGGTGCAGCAATTCCCAATGCCAATCACCAGCGTGTCCCTGTGAGCAGAGAGAGAGGGAGACCCCAGAGGAGTTGAACAAGGGGGCGGCTAGCTGTCCTCTGGGTTCCTCTGTTGGCACCACATCGTTGATGGACCCCACAGCTCTGCCCTCCCCGCCTCCCAGAAGGTCGTGTCGCCTGAGGTGGAGACCCCTCCAAGCCCCTCCTTTTCCCGGGGGGGGGGGGGCCTCCAGACGCCTCACCTGATCACATTGTTGTCAAACCTGTTGTAGGAAGCCATGGAGAGCAGCCCCCCAAAGCCGATGCCCAGCGAGTAGAAGATCTGTGAGGCCGCGTCGTTCCAGACCTTCTCCAGGGGGGGAGGAAAGAGAGACCGTCTGGGCCTGGCTTTCTCCCCTGGCTGACCGCCCAACTTGCAACCCCCTTGACCAGTTACTAAGGAGCACCAACACAACGGGCAAGGCACAGTTGTGGCCTGCAGAAATAGGGAAGACTTCCTTCTGGCTCGCGGAACGTCTGAGCTCAGCTACTCATGGATTACTCAAAACTCATTCCCCGAGACCTGTGGGGTCCCTGGGCCTCTCCGCGCTGGGTGGTGTCCCTGCAGACGTTTCATGGCCCAACTAGGGAACCTCATCAGTGCTAACAATGACAGTGGTGCCGGCGTTCCCTAGTTGGGTCACAAAAAGCTTGCGAGAAAACCGCCAACCTCGGAGAGCACCAAGGATCCTAACCCTGAGCTGCAAATATTCTCTTCTAAACCATGGTTAGTCAAAGCATGGTTTAATGTCATCCGCAAAGCAGGCCAGAGAGTTAAGCAGCCCCTCCATTTAAGAGGCTTTGATGGTTTGTAAACACACATTGGTGGCTTACTCTTGAAACCTTGTGTGTTTTTTCCACCAGACCAGACCTGGTTAAGATATCCTGGCTTAGCCGGGCTGTGTGATAGGATATAGAGTTGGAAGGGACCTCGGAGGTCATCTAGTCCAACCTCCTGCTCAAATATCAGCCACTCCCTAGGATCGAACTCACAGCCTCCTGATTGTGAGGCGAGAGCTCCCCCTCCAGGCCATTGGAGCTGCAAAGGAGGCCCAGGGTGGGGCTGGCTCCCCACGAGAGGGCTGGAGGCAGAACAAGGAGCCCCCCCGTCCCCCGCCTTAAAAGATCCCAGGCCTCCCGCTGGCCAGAAGCCAGGACCGACATCCTTCTGGGTCAGGGGTTCTCCCCCTGCGTGCACACACACACACACACGCAAACGCACACGCAACCTGAGAGGGCGAGGGGCACACCTGGGCGCTCTTCAGCCGGCTCCAGTCTGCAGAGAGGTAGAAGCGGATGCCCTCGAGGGAGCCCTCCAGCGTGGCTCCCCGGATGACCAGCACCACGATGACCACGTAGGGGAAGGTGGCCGTGAAGTACACAATCTGCGCAGGGGGGACGGCCGGGCGGCTGAGGGGGAGAAGCACCCCGGAGCCCCCCCCCCCAGAGCCCGGCTGAGCCCCTCCCCCGCCAGACCCAGGCCAGGGAGGGGCTCCCCACGCCGCCCCTCCTCCCCAGCTGGCTCACCTTGCCCGAGCTCCGGATGCCCTGCAGGGTGCAGAGGAAGATGACGGCCCAGGCCAGCAGCAGGCACAGCGCCAGGGGCTCCCTCACGGGGCCGGGGTCGCCCAGGCCGGAGCTGTGCACCACCCCCAGCACCCGCTGGCTGGAAGCGGAAGAGGGGAGGGCGGCTGACGGCCAGGAAGGAGCCCCGCCTCCCCAGGACCCTTCCCCGCCCATCAGAGGGTCCTCCACTTACAACGGTTCATTTAGTGACCAAAGTTACAGAGCAGCAATGGGGTCCTAGCTGTTCCGGTTTGGGGATCACACGTGTGCCCCTTATGCATGCGCACCTTACGCACACGGCAGCTCTCCCCACACCAGCGGAGAAAGGAGAGAACAGCGCAGAGGGCCGGTGGGAGGGAGGGAGGGCCAGTCCTGCGCTTTCCCCTTCTCTCTCCTCTCAGCTGAGCCCCCCCCCCCCCCCCCCCCCCCCCCTCCCCGCCTCCCCCGGCCGACCCCCCCCCCAAGAGAGGGAGCCCACTTCCCCCAGGTGCTCCCCCCTCCCAATGAAGGAGACTCACTTCCAGAAGACCTCGCTGGCACTGGCCGGGCGGTTCCTCTCCAAAGTCCCGTTCTGAAAGGCAGGAAGAGACCCTCGTGGGTAGATAGGTGGGGGCAGCAGGGGTGGGATTCCATTTTTTTTACTATTGGTTCTGTGGGTGTGGCTTGGTGGGTGTGGCTTGGTGGGTGTGGCAGGGGAAGGATATACTGCAAAATCCCCCTTCCCTCCCCAACCCACTAACCTGCTTTCCAGCTCCGTTCTCCTGGGCAGGGCAACCAAAGGAGACCCAGCCGATCAGCTGGGACTCGATGGGAGGCGGAGAAGAGGTGGGGTTGGCGGGGCCAGTCGGAGGCGGGATTGGCCGGTTCTCCAAATGACTCAAAATGTCCGCTCCGTTCTCCAGAACTGGCCAGAACCGGCCGAATCCTCCCTCTGGCGCAGGGCCTCCCTGGATGCTCCAAGGCTGGCCGGCTACTCTGATCTCCTCAGCCAGAGAGGAGGTGTGAACCCCGAGGGGTCCCGGCCTCCCCTCCCGCTCTGGCTCCCCCCCCCCGGGGCCCAGCCAGTACCTGCGCCTGGCAGAGGGGCCGGTTGGGTGGGGCGTCGCAGGACCAGGGCAGGGGGCTCTGGAAGGACATGCTCAGGTAATAGAAGGTCCAGGCAATGATGACGTTGTAGTAGAGGGAGACCAGGGAGGAGACCACCAACATCCCGACTCCGATCCCTGCAGAGGGAGTGCAGGAGGGGGAGCAGCTCGGTTCCACGGCTCTCCTTCCCCGGTTGGGGGGACTCACCCCCCACGGAGTGAGCCCCAGCAGAAGGGCCCAGGTTCCCGGCGGGCAGGGCCCCAACCGCAGCCCCCCCAGAAGAAGCCCAGGGGCCCCTGAGCCCCACCCCAAGCGGGGAAGAGAAGCTGAGTTGGGGCCTCCTGCTTACAAGGCCCAGTGCTCCTCCCCAGCCTCCCTCTGGCCCCCCACGGACGGAGGGGCTCCCCACTGGAGCCCGGTGGACCCCTGGCCCTGCTGCTCTGGAAGGCAAAGGGCCCCCCGCCCCCGAGGGGCTTACCTTTCAAGAGGGGGCAGCACTTCCAGACGCTGACGGGCCCCGTGGCCCCGTATTGGCCCAGGCTGAGCTCCATCAGGAAGAGGGGAAGGCCCGTGAAGACCAGCATGAGGGTGTAGGGGATCAGGAAGACCCCTAGGGAGAGAAGGCAGCGCAGGGGGGCCCTCAAGAGACCACGCCGGCAATCCCCCCC